TTATTTTCTATTTCTATAGCGTTTTCCTATTCCTGATAATCGAGTTTTATGGAATACAATATTTCCTGATTATACACCATATGAATATACAACTGAAAAAATTCAACGTAATCCACGAGCAGATCCAGCTGATCCGTAAATGAGATTTTATCAGAGAAAAAAAAATACAGTATATATTTGATTTAGTTTAGATTGAAAATAGAAAAATTTAATCAACTTGATAAGAAAATTGATCGAAGAAGTTTTACTGGACAATACTATGTTGATCCAAAAACAAATCGACCACGAAATCCAAATGGAAGAACAGGAAGTAAACGAAAGACTTTTTTTGTTTGTTCTCAAAATCAAATATCATATTTTTAATTTAGTGACAGGTCGTGGTCGTCTATATTATTGGGGTCCAAATCATGCTGGTGATCCAGTTGTTACTCGGTAAATAGAAGTTCATATTTATTTATTCATTAAATCCATTTGTTTCATTATTAGTTGGCTTCGTGATGAAAATGGTTCAATTGTTTATCGTCGAAACAATGCTCGTGATTCTCTAAAACCGGTTCTTGAATTCGTAGCTATTCTTAGACAAGATAGAAAACAATGGGCTCTACCCGGAGTAAGAAATTTAACAAAAAACTAAGCCTGATTTGATTATTATAAATTCTGTTGATTTTCTTTTTGAGGGTATGGTTGATCCTGGAGAACATATATCTGAAACAGTAAAACGTGAATTTCAAGAAGAAGCATTACGAGATGGTGTTGATAAAACTTGTATAGATCAATTATTTTCTAATGGAGTTAAACTATTTGAATCTTATGTTGACGATCCAAGAAATACAGATAATGCATGGATAGAAACTGTTGCTGTGTAAATAAAATTTTCTATGAAAAAAAAATATTTAAATAATTATTTCGATTTTGTTTTAGAAATTTTCATGATGAAACAGGTCAATTAACTAAACAACTTCATTTAAATGCGGGTAAATATTTATTTTATATGATTTTAATTGTTATTTTTCTTTTCTAAATTAGGTGATGATGCGGAAAAGGTTGTCTGGCGTTCAATTGATAGAAACCTTGAATTATATGCATGTCATAAAGATATTCTAGAAATCGTTGTAGATCGATTTAATGCATATTGGTAATATTGAATGATGTATGATTATTGTTAGTGATAGAAAAAAAATAAAAAGACAATACTAACTTTGTAATAATTTTAACTATTTTGAACAACATGAAGAATTATTTAAAATATTTTTTAGCCTAATAAATAGAATTTTAATTGTAATAGTAGGTTTCTATGATTAATAATTTTAGTCAGCAACTAAGAAAAACAGTTGGTAATTGTATAGAAATAAAATGATCATCTATTATGTTAAATTGATTGAAAAATATTTGAAAAAAAACAAATATAAATCTTGATACTTAAAAATATAAAGATTTTCTATATACAAACAATCAGAAATATAATTTTTGAACTTAATCGGAATTTATTTTAATCAAAGTATTACAAACTCATGTGAATACAGTTTTTTTCTCATGCTACCTACAGCTCCATCTACTATACAAATGTACTATTAGTAAATTTTTTAAATATATTTGAAGAACATTGTATCAATCGAAACATCTTTAGTATTGTATAGAAGAATTATTCAGATGAAATATAAGTCTAATCTGATTGGTGAATATTCTCGACAAATACAAATCAATTGTCAAAGTAATAAACAAAAAAGAATAGATTATTCGTTATATTATATAATTACTCTAAACTTATACTTTTAACAATATAAATATGGCTTCACGTCGTGGAATATTTTTTAATTCAAAATCACGTACAGTTGATAAAGTTCAACAATTACCGACACAAATATCAAATGAAATACCAAGTAATGACAATAATAATAATAATACTAACAATAATACTAATCCTCAAGCAACAACAGTAAAAAAAAAGATTATATTAAATCATACAAAACGAACATTAACGAAAACAAATTATTCTGGACCACGAAAAATCTTTAGTACAAATTATAAAGTAAGACGAGAAAAAAAATTGATTTGTTATTACAAATATTTTATTTAGGCAAATCGAACGCAACTAAATCATAAAGCATTTTTTGGTGGTAATACAGATGAATATGATTTAGATAATAATGAAATCAATACTAATAATACTCTTCATACAAAAACAATCATTTCAAGTAATAAAACACATATTGAACAAAAACAGGTTGAGTATTAAATTATAAAAATACAAAAATCAATTGAATTTTTGTTATTTAAAAGATGCAAACAACAATTGTATCAAATTTTCGACAACCAACAACATGTGCAGAACTTGATGAAACACAAAGTTATATTGATGAAATGGATTATCTTTTAACAGGATTTCAACCTGGAAAATTACTCGTAGATCGTTGTCTTAGGTAAGATAAAATTGGTATTGTCCTGAAATCCGGAAAAGTTTTGAAAAAAGATTCGACAGTTTATTTAACAAAGAAGAGATGTAGTCCACTTTTTACTAGCCACCAGTAAAGAAAGTCCCATGAGATGTTCATCGCTCTCGAAATGTTTGGCAAGTAGGACTGTGAAAGCTGAGGTTCAGTTCTTTCGAACTGGAACTGTCACATTCCTATTGGCAAGAGTATTGAATTGAGCTGGAAGGTGTAGATGTAAACAAAGCATGGACACGACACCCACACTCTCAAGATGCATGTCTGTGTATATTTGCTAATAGAAGTCCAGGGCATAGTAAAGCAGAATGGCACTCGGTAGACGATAAATCATGATTGATGTAGACAACCATAAACATTTATGAAAGAATATTATTATTCTTTTCTGTTAGAATGATATCAGAAATTTCCCAGATTTCAAGACATATCCGATAAAATTCATTAGAAATCACTATAATCTTTGTGATTTATTTTTAGTGCAATTAAATTTGCTGAATTATGTATTAAACCAACATTTCGAATGCATCTACGCACGAATCGTGCATTAGAACGAATTTTTGATTTATTAAAAGATACACCAAATATACCGGTAATAATGATTGATATTTTATCTGTAATATTCTTTTTATTTGTTTGATAGAGTTTAAATTTATGTACAACGTTTATTTTCTATATACTTTCATCAGATACATTAGCATCAGGATTAAATTCAAGTGCAATACATTTAATATTAGATTTAGTTGATAAAAGTTCATCGATAAATCCAAATGATGAAGAATATAATAAAATGAAAGAACGAATATTAAATATAAATCAAAAATCATTACCAGATAATATTTTTTATGAACAAAGATTTAATGTAAAAAGACAAAAAACATATTTCAAATTATTTATTTATTTTTTTTTGATTTTTATTAGATATGTGATATGATTCTCGAAACATTTGTTAATATTTCTCGTAATAATTTAAAAGAATCTTTAAGAAATGAGCTACGTACATTAGGTGGTTTTGATTTAATAATTAAAGCAGGTAAAAATATTTTCTCTCGTTGTTTATTTAAAAAAATTTATTTAATTTAATTCCAGTCAATTCAATAGTACAAGATTTAGCAAATAATGATTTTAAATGTTATTCATTATCAGAATTATCAATACGTTATCGAAAAGTCTGTCGATATATAAATATGCTTGAAGAATTTGCAAATGAAAATTCCGAACAATCATCAGCATCAAAATCAAATATAAATATTAATCGAATGTATATTGCTCAATATAATCAATATTCATTATTTCATTCATTATCAAAGTAAATTTTCATAGAAATTAAAACTAAGATTTGACTATATTTTATTTTATCAAAAAAGATTACTTGATCTTTCATTACTCTGGTTACAACAAGGATCAACAATTAATCAAACTAGTACTACAGCAACGAATGTCAAAGATACAAATTCATATGATATGTTTCGAGAGGGATGTAAAGCAATCATGTCGATACTTGTTATTATTACGAATGATTGTGGTGAGTTTGTTTAATACGATTAAATATTATGAATTCTCAAGATTTATACAAGAGGAAAAGAGCGGAATCCAGATTCCCGAGGATTTCAGATTCCACTCTTTCCCCCTTGGATTTATATCATTCATTGTAGTATTAAATTTTTACTAATGAGTTATTTTCTCTGTCTTGAGATCATTTTAATGTAAATAGAACCAGAATTAATCAGAAATCGTTCTAATACAAACACTAAACAAAAAAGATCGAATGTCATTGCATATCCAAGGTCGAAAGAATTTAATGAGTATTTGAGGAATGATACACATTTTCACGTATGTTACATATCATAGTGAAAGAATACTTTCTACATAACAAGTATACGTACACTTTTTAGACATGAATATTATAGCGAGATGCCAAACATTTCATTGTAGTTGATATGTCAGTTTTTCTCTTCTACAAGTAATGAATTGAGAGCTAAAACCTCGATAAGATCACATTTTCTACAAACACTGCTCTGCGCCTATAGTTACAACAGAACTACATAACTTCTAGACAGGGACTTCCGCAGAAGTGGGATTGGAGGTACAGGTCGAACAATTTTCAGAAATTTGAAATAACCTTTTTCTACGATGGACTTTTCTGCAAAGGTGTAAATCCCGCCCCGAAGAAAATTTCTGCGGACGTGCCTGCTTCTAGATGTTTGTTTTTTAAATAATTTTTCTTTCTATTTTAGAAGTACTTTGTGATCGTTTAACATCAGATGATCGATTTTTTTCGAATCTGTTTCGTTTACTTGTTACTATTGAAAACAGTTCATTTAGTAATGAAGATAAATTTGATGCACTTGCATTGGTTTGTTATATATATTATATATATTCATTCAAGAATATTATTATTCTTTTTGTTTTTAGACTCTTAATTTATTAATCAATCTCGTACAGAATACAAAATATATTTATAAACATCTGATGGAAACAAATATGCCCGATGGAAGTACAGTAAAAATTTATGAATATCTTGCTAAAGTAATAATCGAAAATGAAAACAAAATAGAATCAAATTTATTTTTATTTTTTCAGTTATTTTGTGAACAAGAATCTTCAGCTGCTAAAGCTGAATCTCACGAAGAAAATGACTGGATGATGGAAGATGTTGATGATAATGATTTTGATGAAGAATCTGATAAAAAACCGACAAATGAAAATGGGGCGAATTTTAATCGTGCTTTACAAAAAGCTGCTGGTCATATGGAAAATACATTTGTTGCAGCATTTACTGGTGTTATATTAGCGGTTATTTTATTACGAGATCAAACAAAATATGCATCACAAATACGAGAATTAATGCCACAAAAGAAATTCGATACAATGGCTTTTATATTAAAAAAATTTTTCGTTTTTATGCATATGTCGGTATGTTGAATTTTTGCACTAAAAAATATTTTTATTTTCAAATATTTGTTCTTTTTTTTTGTAGCATGCTTTTACACCATCGGGTGTAAAAATTCTTGAAGAACTTATTTCAATGGTTTTATCATTATGTGGATAATGACATCGAAACAGATAATTCGTTTTTTTTGTATATAAATCTATAGACATTTCACAGTTGTTTGTGTGTTTTGTTCTAACTCTTTGTATTAAAAAAATAATATTCATAATGAATATGAATAGATTGATCATTGTGGTCATAATGAATTCAAGCTAATATAGATGATTTTTTATAGTGATTAACATATGTTGTTTAAAATAAATTATAGATACTTTAATGATAATTGTAGTTTATTAGAAAAATTAACATGTGAAGGATCTTTAGATACATACGATTCTCAAATTTGACTTTTTCTTGTTTGTGATACGTTTATAAATAATTTTTTTTTGTTGGCTTTACAATAGGTTATTAGAAATTTCAGATTAATAAACTAGCCTGTTAATCCAACATGATAAAATCATTCTAAGTTAAAAAATTTATTGGACTTGAAAGCTATCTAAATTGTTCTTTTGACATAAGTATTCTTCTATAATGTAATAAACCGTACAAGTATTATTATAAGATTAGTTTAATAAGGATAATTAGAAAAAAATCTTCTTTAAACAGATTCATGTATTTTTTATGAGATACAAGCATTTATAATGAATGTACTTATTTCTCAGATGACTTATTAATTAACAAGTAACACTCGTCCGTGGACTCG